GACAAGGAAACTACACACATGAAACCTCCCACAATATGTCAGCCTAAACAAGACCTGAGCAATGACAATACACTATACATACTAACATGGAAGGGGGAGACCTCATGTGGCCCCATCCCTTGACCAAGGGCTATAGGCAATTAACAACTCCCTGAGAGCTAAGAAGAAGTCATGAAATTGGGAGGAGGGTTGGAGCAGTGAGTGGATCTGAGAGGAGTTATAGGGAAACATGGGGATGAATATGAACAAAATACAGTAATACATGTATGAAATTATCAAATAATTAATGAAGTATATTAAAATGCAAATGTGAAACAAATATTTGCAAACATAAAAAGCACTTCTATCAGCATGCATTAAAAACTCACACATAAGAAAGAAGACAAACGTCCCAGTAACAAATGAGCAATCAGTGTAAGCAAACACTTCACCTTGGAAACTATGTAGGTTACAAAAGTCCAGGGACAGATGCTCAACATCATACTCGCTAGGGAAATGCAAATCAAAGCTACAATATGCTGGCTATGTACACCCTTAAGAATGACTGTCATTATAAAGACTGGAAATTCCCAGTGTCTGTGAGCATGTGTCCTGACTGGTAACTCTCATGGAATGTTGACATGATGACAAGTCTCTGGGAAACAACTATATATGAAGTTAGATATTTGCTTGTCATGTGATCCCATCATGCCCCCAGCCATTATTTGTCCAAGAAAATATGGATGCAAAGGCTATTATGAAAACACAAAAAATTAGAAAGCCAGCAATTCATACATTCATGACTGTTAAAACCTGAACTGGCACAAGTGCCTATTAATTGTTGCGTATAAACCAACTGTGGTGTAACTAGGCAATGAGATAGATACTATCCTGAACTATAAAGATACAAACTACTGACCTATTCAGGAGCAGAAATTAGTAACATTAAGTATAGTGAAAAACGCCAGACACCAAATTCCGCGTGTTGATTCTCTTTGAATATAATATGTTATGGGTGAAAGTGTACTGGGTAGCCAATGGACTGACTGCCAAGCCAGGTGAAAACTTCTACAGGATTAGAAAGTTTCATGCTATATCATGTCCCCCAGTTTCTTCCCATCTACATTAGTATTTAATGTACTTAGACTCACACTTTATTTGTATACTTTGCTGTACTGTAACCTGTGCTATAATTAACAACTCATGATGTATTGGAGTCTCTTGAGAGTAGAGACATTATCATTTTTATTTTCTTATCTTGTTGGTTTCCTTTATCTTTGGAGGAAGCTCATTAAGACAGGATGTTTACAGGAAGGTGAAACAATCCTACAGCAGTGGTTCTCAGCCTTCCTAATGCTGCTACTCTTTAATACAGTTCCTCATGTTGTGGTGACCCCCAACCATAAAATTATTTTCATTGCTACCTCATAGCATAACAGTTTGCTACTGTTATGATCATAATATAAATATCTGTGTTTCCAGACGGTCTTAGGTGACCCCTGTGAAAGGATGTTTCGACCTCAAAGGGGTCACAGTCCACAGGTTGAGAAGCACTCTACAGGGAAGTTCAGGAAGTAAACAAAAATAGCATCAAGAAGTCCCTGAAACTGACCAGATTCACTAGGCCTCTCCTACCACAAACATATAACCAATGAGTGACACTATAGACAAGCCAAATAGCCCAGTAGACTCTCAGACAAGCCACGCTGTCAAGATGCCTGGAGGAAACTGAACAACCGAACTGCCTGGGAAAAGCTCAGACCAACTGAACGATCTGCAAAGGACACTCTGCAACCTGGTCAGCCACCTTCAGGTTGTACAGTGTGCTGGAGGTTCCCAGCTGTCACCATGCTGGGGTGGGCTCAGGTGATGCAGCTTTGAGCCATTTCTACCCCTTTGAGCAATGCCTCAGCCATGTTTATGTAAGTGACCCCAATAAAACTCACTGATTTGCCAAACCGGACTTTGGTGGCATCCGAACTTTGGTTTGTCATCAGTTCCCTTTGTGGGGGGAGTAGATGTCAGTTAATCTCTCTCCAGGAGTTGTATCAGCCAACAGTACCCAGTGTCCAGTGACAAGGAGTGTACCATCTGCTGTTAATCAAAGATCTTAATTGATATTCCCTATGGGGGAGACCTGGAAATGGCTCTAGAATAGGACAGATAGTATCTGGCTTAAACTCCAGACTCCATTTCTTATAGCTACTGCAGAATTTTGAGTAAGCCGAGTAGCTTCTCTAGACCTCTAAGTCATTTCGGCTATGAAATGGAAACTGATTCATTCTGATGATTTATGAGAAAGTGATGAACTGTCATGTGTACACGCATCCACATGCAGTGGATGTTTTGTAATTACATGCCTCTTTTCTTTTGACTATTCAATACTATTTTAACTAATTAATTTCTAGTGTGATGTTTTTATTAATTACATGACAATACTGTTTTTGTTGGACGTGCAGACAAGAGTACAAAAGATGAAGTTAGACGGTTTCCAGAAACAAAAGGCCAATTACAATAGAATAAATTTAAAAAGAGGCAGGCTTCCTTTGTTGATCCCTTACAAAATTGTACAAAATCGTTCAATTTGAACAAAATATCCACTATCTTGTCATTTTGACTGGAGGACATACAGCGTCTCATTGTTTGTTGGCTGGGGGTAGTTTTTAAAAACAACGTTGAAGTAAAAAAATTTAGGAATAAAAGAGGACTCAGTAATGAAGATCAGAGGGAGACAATCTTCTTCCTGATAGGTCTCTGCAAGCAGCATCTACTTCTCTAATGATTCTCCTTTTGTCTCTCGGGAGATAAGCTAATTTAGTTCACAATTATCCTATCCCTCAACTCCTTGTGAACAGAGAGGAAAGAGCCACACTGCACCTTTAGTTCATAGTGTAACCTGAGATCTTCATGGAGCCCTTCTACCATACATGTGGGAGCATGAGCAAAACTAGCATGCAAGCCGAGTGTGGGGACAGTGCTACTAACCAGAGTTTTATTGTTCAGCTGGTGAACACAAAGCAAACGCAGTGAATAGCACATCCGCCCAGAGGTCTCGAAAATCACTGTCCCGTCAGCTGTGTCTTAGCAATTACTCTGAAAATCTGAGTGCATTTGTTTTCTTAAGCGCTGTAACATCAGTCCTAGGATATGATCCTGACAGCATTAGACAGAGCTCCATTTAGAATGAATCTGCCTCTACAAAACATCACCATCCCAAAGCAGCAAAAGTAAGGCTCAGGATGAACATGACTGTTTGTTATCCGAAGGCTAGGATCTCCACAGCCAAAGCTTGCAAACAACACCCATGCCTATTCCAAAGCCGAGGAGCTACGACAGCTCATGTTAGCTGTCGAATTTGCTTTATGCTGGTTTCTACTTCAGTTTCCTTGGCTGTTATGTGAGCATAGTGATAGTTGCTTTCTTGAAGGTTGTGGTGGGGATTAAATGAGATAAGATATGTTCAATGGTTATGGCAGTGTGTAGCGATAACCATATACTACTAGTATAACTGTTGTTATTTCTGGTTGTCCTAGATCACTGTAGAAGACACATGCTTTTCTACAAAGGAATACTTGGGATGACAGAGTCTTGTTAACAAACTAGCACATTTCTGGGACTAACGCAGAACTTAAGCAATAAGTTATCAGTCAAGATAAAGCAATTAGAGGGTGAATTACCCAAGATTTGCTTTACCTAGAGACACTCTAAAATATTCCTGTGTGCTCCAAATGTCTTATGGAAATCTATCAGATGAATACTGCTTGTATTACAAAGCCCAATACTGTCAAGTCTCCAGTTTACCCACTTGTCATCTTAGATTCTTTCCAACTCCATGCTCCACCAGCAACCAGTCAAGCTGGGCAAAGGGACCACCAAAAAAACTTATTTATCATTCACAGGACTAGAAATCTTTCAAAAAGCAATCTCTTTTACAATAGCATAATTGGGGGAAGAGATGACAAATTCTACCTTCCAGACAAAGGGCAGTGTACCAAAATTTCACTTCAGTATAACCTCAGGGGTTAAGTTGTAGGAGAATAAAACTTATCTGACTCAAAAAATCTATCAGTGGGTATCTGAAATTGGAGAAACACTGAAGTGGGTATGGGGGTTTGTATTTAATTCTTCCTGAATGACACCAGGAACATATCATACCAGGTATATAACCAATCCTCATTACACAGTAGACTAGTGTTTAATGAAGAGCTTGGGGATTCTGGGCGAGGATGCTTATGGCAGCTCTATCACTGGCTATGAGCAAGCTCTTCTAATATCCACCAGTATGCTTGACAGCTATTTTCACTTTATATGTGTTTGGGACCATAAAAAGTTAGGTACCACTAACTTAAGAAATAAGTTCGTTTTCCAGAGTCACTTCATTTGTAACAATGGCAAAGCTTAAGCACTGGTTGCTTATTACACCTCCTGATCATGATACTTACATGTTCTAGGAAGGCAAGACATGTATTATTTTTATCTTGATCTCAGTCCTGTAGCCAAAACTCTATGCAACCATTGGTATGGTTCTTCCTTCTCTACATCCTCTCCCCATTTGTAATGGATTCAAATGAGTTCAGGATTTAAGGACAGCAAAATAGTGAGAGGCTGTTAGTACACCACCAGGGAAGGCAGAACTCCTATAGGGACCAGAGTATTCATAGATAGGGTATGAATGCCAACATCTTTGATAGCTATCAGCCACAGAAGGACTATGAGAGACAGAGATGTTGGATGAGTCCAAGAAAATTGATGAAGCTGTTCAAGATCTTGAAACCATTAGGCATATTTTCCCCTGTATAGTATCACTGTGATGAAGCTGTCCAAGATCTTTAAGGAAACCATCAGACACATTTCCCCTGTATATTATCACTTTCAGAGTAAACTAGTGATCTGTTTGTTGCCAACAGGAAACACAACTGAATTAATTAAGCTTCTTCATTGACATCCAGAACGTGTCTCTAAAGGAACACACTGCGGGGCAGATGAGGCCAACTCACACTTCCTGGCTATTGTTCACTTACCCCAGACAGCCATGAACACAGCAAAGAACACAGTGGCTCCATTGTCAAAAAGGTGTGTCACCTGGAAATAAAAGAACCCATTCAGCTAGTTTCTCATGAACAATAATTTAACTGCTATTTTTAACGCTGCACAAAATAGTTATGGTGACACAGTGAGCTTTGTAAGGGTACTTGGTGAATATTCCCCTTGACGATGAGTAAGAAGGGGGTGGGTGCCTTCAGATTGTGAAGTGCAGATGTGGAGGAAAGGGTCTGTGTCCTTACACCAGGCTCATGCATTTGAACACTCGTCAGCAGACCCATAGTGCTTTTAAGAATTCCATTCATGTGCCTGAAACGTCTTGTGGGTTACTTTACATTTCAGCATTATAAATACAAGAGACAAGAACCATTATCAGATTCACGCTCACACTCATGAAAGCCTGAGGTAATCACTGTTCTTGCCACTTCCTATAACCCAAAGACAGTTGGTAATGCCTTTTCACCAGAGTGTGCTCTGAAGGTCTATTCTCACTGCGAAACAGCCACACTCATTTCCACCTCCATTCTAAATCACACAAAGTCCATGGCAAACTGACGACTGACAGTTTCACAAAACACAGCCTTTTGGGCATTTTATGTTTCCCTAGTAAAGTATACTTTACTGTCTCTGGAGAATATGTCCAGGATAAACAGGTTTTATTGCCATATCATAGTGTCAAGTATTTTTCCAAAACTTTATGCTCTCTTGTTCTTTGAGTGGAGGAGAGATGGGCGGCATTCAAACACTAAATGTGACACAAATATCTAAATCCTAAGCCTTTTGTACGCCGGATGGAATGTTGTGCTGGAATCCCCCACCCCGTATCACACAATCCCGGCAGCACTAGTGGTACATGGTGGGTTCCGGCTCCCTGTCTGGACATTTGGCGAATGCAGTAGTTTGTAACGTGAGGGTGGGTTCCTGGTTGAATTGTGGCTGTCATTCTGGGCTGCCTAGATCATTCCCACCCACACAACAGATGTCTCTCACGCTGTTTCCAAGGAGTGCATGGATAGTGGGACCCAGCGGAGTACTTCCTTGGGACAGGATATAAACATTGGAAGAGACAGTTTTCTGCTGTAGTCACCAGTGTGAGTCAGAATAGCTGAGGAAATGAGGACTTCTGGTTCCCAGCATAGTGGTAGTCTAGCTCATCTGATGGTTCTCTTGGACAAATCCCACTAAAGAAAAGCAAGAGAGTAGACTCTATATAGTAACAAAACATGAAGACTACAAGACAGTCCAAGGAATGGGCAGTGGTCTCAAACTGATTTGCATGGGGCATGTGTATGTATGGACATGTGCATGAATGTGCATTTACATGTGTGAAGGCCTAAGATGAATTTCAGGTGTCTTCTTTGATAGTTCTCTACATTATGTATTGAGGTGATGTTCCTCAGTCAAGCCCAGAGTTTTGCTGACTCAGTTAATATAGCTAGCTTGCTTAGGGGACTCCAAGTCTCTGCCTCTGCCATGCTGGGTTTACAGGGAGGATGTCACATCCACCTGGGCTTTACTTGGGTGCTAGAGGATCTGGGGTCCAGTCCTCACATTTGCATGGCAAATGCTTTACCTGCTCAGCTATGTTCCCAGCCCAACAGACACTTCCCGAAGGGACAGAGACTCTAGGATAACAGAATAGAAATTGCAGCAATGTTTTGAAGATGGGGATGAAACCCAGAGTCTCATACCTGTTAGGCAAACGCACTACCACTGAGTTTTATCCCCAGTCCAAAGAACAAGAATTTAAAATAAGCACAAAAAGGATACTTAGAGATAAAGGAAGGAAGACAGAACCTGGAGGCTTGGCCATCTTCTCAACACAGGAAGGGAACCTGTCTGCAGAAGTGTGCACAAGTGTATTGGAGAGATACTGGGGGTCTGGAGGGTACAAGTTCTAGGCTGGGAGATGCTTTGTGATTTTTTTGTTTTCTTTGTGCAGAAAACAACAAGCTTGTCAGTGTCTCCATGCTTAAACCACTTGGCAGTAGATTTCAGACTCTTGTGCTTTCCAAGGATGAGGGTAAGGCATTTGATGATGAGCAAAGTGGTTGCTGGCTGGGTTGGAACTATTCTCTGTATAAGACCCACAAACTCACTGCTGACATTTCTAATACATGCTTCTAAAGGAAGTCTGTAGAAATCTGATTCTGCCACCTCTGCCTTTAGTTTAAAGGTTTTAGGGAAGGCCAAACACAAAATTCAGAGTCTAAACATCTTACATCTCAGCAGGGTCTGGTGGTAAAGAAGCTATGTTGTGTGGTCTGGTAAATGGAGACCCACGTTTTTCAGGTTTGCTGTCCTATGAGTAAAGATGAGTAGGTTTTAGTTTTCTGAGTAAAATAACACCTGCCTTGAAATTGACATGCAGGTTGGAAATAACACATGCTACCTAGCAATTATGGAAATAACCTAACTTAAAATCAGGATTATTCTAGATTTCTGGTAGAATTACTGCCAACAGAAGCTCCTATGAACTTTGAGCACTCTGAACTATTCACGGTTAATTGAAGGAATTATTAAGGATTTCCTGGGAAGAGAATTTCACCCAAGCAATTCTTCACATTAGAAACACACACACACACACACACACACACACACACACACACACACACACACACACACACACACACAACACACATGACACCAAACAAAGACCAAATCATAGAAATTTGATGGTGTCCAAAAGCAGGCTTTTAAAACACAAATCTCATGACTTTTTAGTAAAATTGCATTACTGCTTTCTTAACTATACATTCCCACGGTTGCTCTGCTTAATCGTTCCTTACAGCCTCAGTCTACATGTCCTCTAAAGACAGGGAGAGGCACCGAGTGCTTTTCTGGTCTCTTGTGATATCATATACTCAGAGTCCAGATCGTTTTAGACGAAATTGACTGCTGTGCTTGGGCTCTACCCACAGAACTCGCCACCTGCACTGCTGGAGCCATTATGGATGAGCGGCTGTGGGCTGCCTATCAAGTGTTCTCTTGTCCTAAGTGAACAAAACAGTGTAAAGCCAACGGAGTAATTAGACAGATCCAGGCTGCTGTAATCACAGATGTCTGATAAAATCTGCCAACCTCTTTTCTATCTGGAATCTAGGCAAACACATAGGCAACGGATTTTAGGAAAGACTACACCGACCTGAACTCTAGCTTTTGTTTGCAATTATGATACTGCCCTGAAGTTAAAAAGCTCTAGTAATTTAATGAATGTATCAAATATTTTGTCAAAGTGAAGACATACCATGAGTAGGGGTCATGAGATGGCACATGACAGAAATCAAAGTGTCATGTCCTGAGCATTTTCCAAAGCACTCTTCAGCTATCAGGATGAGTCATGAAGTGGGTTAGAGAGGACTGGCACTTACTATGTTTAAGAATGACAAGCTTAGCTGGGCGGTGGTGGCACACACCTTTAATCCCAGCACTCGGGAGGCAGAGGCAGGCGGATCTCTGTGAGTTCGAGGGTAGGCTGGACCGACAACCTCCAAAACAATACAGAGAAAGCCTGTCTCCTAAAACCAAAAAAAAAAAAAAGAATGATAAGCTTAGTCCCAGAAAGGCAATGCCTATGCATGGTCAATGGGCAGGTAGCTGAGCTGGATTTGATTATTGAAAAAATGATAAAGGAAAGCTAAATAGCCACAGCTATCATGTACTGAGATCTTACTGTTTTGCATGCTCATTTTATAGATAAAAAGAATCTTAGGATCATCAAGCTTAAATAACTCACTCTTGACAAACAAACGGCAGAGAGGAGAGTCAAAATCAGAGCCTGCATGTAGCAGAGGTCTCCAAGAATAACTCATGGATGTCTAGGTTCCTGGTTAGTCATGGGACATATAGAGTAGGGGCTTCAGCCATTTTATCTGCCATGGATCCCTTTAACAGTCTGTTAAAACCTGTGCATCTATGATGGGTAATACTGAGTTGTCAACTTGGCAGGATCTGGAACCACTTAGAAGACAGGCCCCTGACCATGGCCATGAGGGATTATCTTGATCTCTGGCCATGTCTGTGAGGGATTGACTATCTTGATTAGATTAACTAATGTGGAAAGCTCCATCCTGAAAGTGGGCGGCACCATCCCCTGGGCTTGGGTCGTGGACTGTACAAACAAGAGGAAGTTAGCTAAACACAGATTCATCCTCCCACTCTTCTTGACTACAGGTGCAATGTGCTTCCTAGTCCTGCCGCCAGATCTCCCTGGCCATGCTGGGCACTACCTTGGAATCAAGAGCCAAAATCATGTCCTCCCTTGTTAAGTGCGTTTGTCAGAATTTCATCACAGCAGCAGAACAAGAAATTAAGCCAGTATCCCTTCTATGACTAATCTTTTAAAATGTAAAAAGATAAAGTCCGTTGCTTCCCAGTCTTTGGCTAAGATCATGTGTAAAAATAAAAATCACTGGATTACAAATAACAAAACAACACAAATCACATTGATGCTCAGAGTTTACATCATGAGAGATCTGTGCCATTGCCCCACATGTAATCAGTAATAAATGCAAACCACTCCAACAATAACAGAAACACAAACCGAACTTCCCCTGACTCCAACAGCTGAGCTCTTTGCCCCAGGCTGTGATGCAGCATCTTGTGCTGGTGCCTGGAGACACATCTTTTAGACACACCACATTCAAAAGGATATTTGCATTGGGATGCTGAATGCTGACATGCCCATGGCACAGCATAATTTGAGGTTCCAACATGGGAAATAACAGAGGAATATAGTCACCTAGTGTTCTGTAGGGAAGCTTAAATTCTATCACACCACAATGCTGCTTGTTTGGACTTACCTTGGCATAAACACAGCTGTCCGACAGCCTCATAAATGGACAGTATTTGTCACATACAGGACACATGATGATATCTGTCGCTTGGCAGACTTCTTTACTGAAAAAGAGAACAGAGAAGGACTGCCTCTTGATGACACAGAGTGTGTTTCGGTTCTTCCTCTGAAACATTGCTACAATGTCCAACTGATAAATAAGAACCAATATACTTATTTTATGCCCCCAGAAGCTTTTCAGTCTTTCCTGATATTAAAGTAAATAGCCCGCAGGCTTTAATATTGTGATAAATCTTATAAATAAATAAACCTTACTTATAAGGTTTATTACCTTACTTATAAATAAGCTTTATTTACATATTAATAAATTAAACTCAGGGAAATACATGAAGAAAAACATTTGTTAATTTGTTATACCCCAAATTGTACCAAATGAGCCCTTCACACAACATTTCACCATGTGAGTCAATTTCATACTGAATTATGGAAACAGGGAGATACCCTAAAAGCCTGCCTCCATTTCTATGTGCATGAAAAAATCCATAAATTGGAGGAATAACTAAAGATTTAATCCTTGGGTAAAACCAAGCATTAAAAATGTCAAAGAGAGTAAAATATTTTCATAGACAGGAGGCAAAAAATCACTCATTCTTAAGGGATGTTATTTTTTAATATCACTGCCGTCCAGCTCTGCAATGGGACACCTATGATATCTGAAGCTATATTATGGTGAGGAAACCACAAGATTGATTGCCCTCTAGGGACTGACCATTCAACAGGCATTGGTCATTTGGTGAAGGGTCTTCATGGCTTAGGAACAGAGAGACTCCTTGTAGAAATAGAGAACCCATGAAATCAGGATTGCTATTACTCTCCATCAGTAGGTACCAGTTTTAAGACAGGGAATAACTCAGAAAGATAACAACTTGTAGTCACTGGATGTGAGTGAGTTGTTCCGTAGATGCATGATTGCTCACTCGTCCGTCTGGAGTTGTAACTTTTGCCAACGCTGTAAGGGCGAGGGACACGGGAGAGCTAGAGGAGCTTTTGTCTTTCCCACCGGAGACTGAGAAAGTAGTGCAAAATTACACGTGCTCAGGCTGTGAACAACCGCAAAGTGCAAACTGCCATCTCCGAATATGGAGAAAAGGCAAGCTCACCCGTGAGTTTCCCTTACCTGACTTGGCAGTGGTCCAGAGTGGTGACTCCATACAAGAAGACAAACAAGCCGATGAAGGCTGCAGGGAAGAGCATGCCTGTGTACCAGCCTAGCCAGGCAAAATACAGTCCAATCTTCTCGCCAAAATACCGCCTGTTTGGGACACAAAAACCTTGAAACCACAGTGATGTGGGAAGTTCAGGGTTATAACACTTCGCCCAATAATGTCACTTAGTAGTGGTTTCCTGGTAAAAGAGACAAGGGAAGCCAAGAGAAGAACCAGCTATCTGGTCAAGTCAAAGCTCTAAGATGAACTTTCTCCCATATTACTTTATACTGGGGGAGTAGAATTACTCTCCCCCTAAAAAGACATTGTTATACTCCAGCTTATTCTGACACTACAGAATGGATTAGGAGTCAAAGTGGGGAACGGACCAGGTAAGGGACTGTCCTTGCCACCAACCAGATAATGAGCAAGGGCAGCATAGATGACAGGAGAGGCATGTGAGGATACAGTCAGATTCAGAGATACAGATGCAGATGAAGAGAATGCAGCATCTACAGGATGAGAAGAATTTAATATACATGTTCTCTAGACGTTCCACAATTCATTCTACTCAAGTCTTGGTAGACCAAGTCAAAGGCAACAGCTCTCAACTCTGCCTAGATTCTGTGTACATGCTGACCCACATTGAGTCTTCCACTCATCTTGATACAAATCTTACAAATTATCTCACACATTTTATCTAATTACTCATAGCCTAGTAATTTTTTTCTAGTTGTTTAAAATACTAAGGACCTTTTTCCCCTTGCAGGAAACTGAGTTTCTGAGCTCCAGAGAACATAGACTGACTATAAAATTCCAATCATAGTGCTGTCCTCATGGAGATGGTTCACTCTAGCAATGTTCCTTAATTTCTAATCAGTGATTGTGTAATTAGAGGGGCAGAGATTGGAAGGAAAATTTGCTTTTATTCCCTCCTCTGCTCCCTTGTTTAACACACACTATGTCTGGTCAAAGGAACATGACCCTGTCTTGGGGAGTATTTTTTCCTCACTTGGGGCATCTGTATCGTTTGGTACCCACAAAGAAGGGTGTGCAATTCATTAATAGCTTCGTCCATCCAGAGCAAATGTGGTAAACAGGCAGCAATGGCTGTGACAGGAAAGAAAGCCACATGGGAAGATGGAATATAAAATGTTATCATTTTATTACTCCCTCTGAGTTCATGCATTTTTTAATTTTATTGTTATTGTTTTTTATAGGGCCCAGATGTAAATAAAACATATCTACATAATCTAAGGAATTACATATGGCTCACTCTTTAACGAGGAATTCATGGCTGTGAATTGCTATCATTCAAGCTTAAGAAATAGTCTTTAAATAATAATGAGATGGCAATGTGCAATACTAACATGACACTTAGGACAGATCTAGACAATAAAAATACAAACACACAATTATCATAAGCTAACAGCTGATACATTTTGACCTACAAATTAAAACAGTCTTTAAAATTATTAGCATAATATTATGATAGATTAATCTTGAGACACCTCAGAATGTGTCCTATTTGCACGAACCATTGAATGATTGTTGCCCCAAATGCTTGACCCATTATAAGGTAGAGGAGGGACTGGTGCATGCTCTCTTGGGTTGCAGAAATCATCAGAAGGGTAGCAACTGCATCTTCTGGGGCAAGAGGACCACGGTGGTTATTTACTCTTAGAGGTGCTTCTCTAATAAATATCCATTTATCATTTATCTTGGGTCTAGTGGACTCATTTAAACCCCACCATCAGCAATGTTTCAATTTTCAAATAAGTACTTTTTGGATTTTGAAGTATTTGCACAGTGAGTCATCTTTAAGAAAGGACTTAAGTCTAAACACAAAATTTTCTTCTATTCATGGTCATGTATTTTTACTTCGTCTTAATATTGACTGACCTATCATAGGGGGGTGGGACGGACCAGATGTGGAACTCTCCTCTTGTTATATCAGTGATCAGAAAGTTTAGGATTAGAGAAACATTTTTGGATTTTTGGGTCAGAGATAGTCAACTGTGGTAATATTCTAGACCATCACTAATAAATTTAATTAGCATTACCTCTTTACGGGGTGACCTGCTCTTCATGGAGTCTTGTGGGAAGTCCTGCCCATAGCCCCTCCTGAGGTACATTGTTTACCAAGAACAGTTAATATCCTTTGAGAAAAACCCAAGTTAGAGGAAGAGCTGAGTGGGTCTTCCCCAAGTAAGTTTCCTCCAGAGATCAGTGCAATGTTTATATGTGCAATAAGTTAAAAACTCACCTTACAAGATCCAAAGGCTGGTATTTATACCATACACCCCAGGAAGCCCAGCACTCATAGAGGAGATGTCGGTGGTTCACTGCGCCATGGGTTTTAATGGAGTTTTTACTTCTGTAACTTCCCTGGGATAAGAACACCACTTCTGGTGAGTGATACAAATCCAGGAATAATCTGATAGTGACACCTGCTTCTAGTTTTCTTAATAAAAGAAAAGGGTTTTAAAAATTCTGCCCAACCTTTGACATACTCCTGGTATTAAAAAATCAAGAAATTTTATGTCAAAACATATATTTTGGAGGAACTTGTCATGCTTACAGAGTTGCAGTACCCTTCAAAGTTTGTTGGTACTCCCCACTGGTCTGACAGGTGTGAGAGGGCAGGAGCTGTGGTGTTTGTCTATATGCATACAGTCACTCACAGTCAGTGCCCAGCCCCATTTATAAATGACAATTTCTCAATAATCATGAAGACCATATTCCTGTAAACACAGGGACATATCCTGGGTTAAATAATCCAAGATCCATTAGGAAATTCAAGAAAACAAACATCACAGTTATACTTAGTAAAGTCATAACAAATGATTTATTAAAGTCCTATTTAGTACTAAGCAAATAAAGACACCAGCAGCACTTACACATCTTAAAATAGTGGATGCAGTATTATTAATTTCTATTCATTACATTTGCTTATCTAATACTTTGCAAAAAATAGTTTGCTCTCATTCTTTCAAAGAATAGCTATAAATGTATTTATTGCCAAATCTATACAGTTCAGGAACATTTACCCTCCTTGGGTACTTCCTTTCAATGCCTTTTTAATTGCATGACTTAGCAGCCTTAAGTTGTTTCTCTGAATTCATGCTGAGTGACTCTTGATTTAAATGTTCTTTCAGTTACATAAAAAGATAGAAATAAATTGATGCTGAGAGAGAGAGATGGAGGGATACAAGTAGACTCTCACTAATTACTTACTAAACAAGTTAAATCAATTCTGAATGTGTGCCTTATCAACAAATTAAAGACTATTCCTAGAAGCCAAGTTTAGTAACAAGAAATTGAAGGGAGGTAAGAAAAAGAAACACAATACCTCATGCAGGGGAAAGGCAGCTTCATAGGAGCCATTGGTAAGCAAGCGGTTCAGACCTGAAGCAACAAGGAAGCCCATTTCAATGAACATTGAGCTTGAGTCTTCAGTGATTAAGACTAAAAGAAGGCAAAGTAATACTTGCTGGAAAACACAGCCTAGGTTTTCAATAGTGAGTGAAGCTAGTTTGGATACCAACAGCTTACACAGAAACCTTCATTATACTCAAGGGCTTTGGGATCAAGTGCTAGGAAAACAGGGTTTTATTAATCAAGTATATTAAATTTCTCAGGATTGGCTATGTCATGGTATATAAAGTGCACAGTGTGTCTTGACTACCATAGTCAAATTAATTAATATATACATCACCACCACAGTGTGCATCAGATTCCTAAAGTCTAAATATTCTATGTTCTATATGTGTGTGATTATGGAGTATTTGTCTTTCTGTGTTTGGCTAAGCCCTTCAAGTTCAGTCATGTTCTCATAAGGCTTTCCAGGGGTTGAATACGTTTCCATTCCTCACCTGTATCACACTATGTTCATTCACATTTGGATTGTTTCCATATACTGTTCTGAATATGCTGAACGAATACTCACTTTTCAAAGTTTTTTCCAACATACTGATTTATTTGGCTATGTATCCCAAAAAGGATTGCTGGAGTGTATGGAAGTCTAGTTCCAATGCCTTGAGAAGATTCTACATTGCTTTCTATAATGACTAGACCACTTACTTTCCCACCAGCAGTGCTCAGGGCTTCCCTTTTCTTCTCATTCCCGCCAGCACCCATTCCTGTCTGCCTGATAACAGCTATCTTAGGTATGGAGTGCTGTATCTTTTGAGTTCTGACTTGCATTTTTCTGAGATTGATGATGTTGAACAGTTTTTCACACACCTGCTGTCCAGCCATGTGTTTTCTGTGTAAAAGTATCACTTAAAGTCCTTTGCTCATTTGTAAATCAAATTATCTGCTTGCTTTTGCTACTGAATATGTTTATTAAAATTTTTGGCTACCAATCCCTCATCAGAAACGTAGTTTGCAATTATGACCTTCCATTCTGTTTTATTTTGTCTGTTATTTCCACTGCTGGGTAGAGGCTTTTTGAGAATTGGATTTTCAAAAAGAAAAATGGTGGAGTGTACCTAGTACCGTGCTTGTACAGAAAAGCGAGCGGTAGGGCATCCACTAGGAGAAGCAGACCAAGGTATCGCTAAAAAGATCACCATTCGCCAGACACTCTCCTGACTTTCCCAGAAGATTCCCTGTGGAAACAAAACCTCCTGTGTACTGGGTCAGTGGCACAACTTGTGAAAAATCATCTTCCCCAAAGATCTACTTCTAAAATGGAAGAGAGGGTAGATGCGTGGATTTAAAAAATGAGGTAAATAAATTGACATACAATAATGAGCACATATGTAAGATGCATAACTATTAAGTTCTGATATATGTGTGCACTCAGGAAACCACCAACATGAATAAACATCCCTCACCTAGGAGCTAGCTATACTACAGCTTATGGCATCACGGTCAAGACAAGCTAGTTGTCTGTGAGAGTGTGGCTCCTGGTAGTCAGCCATACTGCAGTGAATAGCCCCACACCCATGAGTATGCATGTAGCACAAATTGTAGTCAGTGGGTCATTAAACTTAAAAAACGAGTTCATGACACTAGGGGGCATTAGGGAGGTAGGGATGGATCTGGGAGGTGTTGAGGGGATGAGTTGGCGATGAATGTATTCCAAATACCTTGCATGAAAGTCTCAAAGAGTTAATCAAGTCATCTTTTAAAGACCTCTGAAGGCATGGATAGGTTTCATACCACTCAAGTGTCTTTTATTCCATTTTTTGAAGAATGTTCTACATATGTTAGATCTTGACCAAAATCTAGGGGCCTAGCCTAACAGGAAGCTGCATGTGCATGGATTCACTTTTGTCATTCAGTGTTTGATACTTTTAACCATAGTAACACACTGATGTCTTAAGATGCTTGACATTAATGTTTAGTTTCTAAGGAGCACACTTAAATGCAAATATTAGAGGGCATTTGCATTTCATCTAACACATACGCCCTTCAACAGATAACTTTGCAATGAGTAAATTGATTATGCAGAAGGGGCCTATTGACACCGAGGATGGCTTTGTCTAAATTCCACTAATATTTATAGTCTATCCACTTAGCTCTCCTTCTAAACACAAAACTTGAGAATACAAATCAATTTCAATAGTGACTGTATATGTACATGCACATAAATAAATCTTTGTTGAGTTATTAATTGCTCTATTTTGAAAGTGGGTTTTACTAGATTTGATTTTCACAGTTGGAATACACTCAGAACGAGGTTGAAAACCCTACATAGTGACAGTTTACACTCCACTAAAATACATTCATGAATCATGTCTAGAAATCAATATTCTTGTGTTGCTTCTGATCAATCCTGTCTCATGCAAGGTGACATTTTCAGAAAGGGTTTTCAGCAGAAAGCAACATGGGCTAAAAATTAATTCCATCACCAAGTTCGGTTTTATTCTAACATGTTTTCTTCCATTTATGAAACCAGAGATGACAATGAAATATTAGATATATAAACCATTTATAGTTTTACTTTGGACTTTCCAGCCAATTACATGGGCTCACAATTTACTGGTTGACAGTTTATTCTTTGATTGATTTTCTAATTCAGTATGCTTCCATTTCTTGTTTGCCAGTTTTTTGAACATTTGTTTATTTAATTGTATACTATTTGTGGTGCTGGGAATTAAACCTAAGGCTTGTGCTCTCCTCTTAACACCACCTTTGGCCCCTTGCCATCTTGGAAGGATGGGATCCTTGAATATAATCTTCCTTCATCATGAACTGAGAAAGTTTTGTACCAAGGAACAATGTGGCATCTAGTGCTATGTAGGAATACTGAAAGCCAGTCTCTCCCTTCTTTGCATCTCTTCTGGATTAATTGTGAGGACAGCTCAAATCCTGAGATGAAAAAATTTTGGCATCATAATTGCCCCCTGATGCCACTGTAAAGTTTCTGATTATGTAATGATGGTGAGATGGAGATATTATGTTTAATAGAATTCAGTTCAACAATCATGTATTGATTTATCCTTCTAGACAGTAGACACTGATGGTACAAAGACGAATAAGTTTATGCCTTAAGAGTTAAGGACATGTCATCTTAACTCATGCTTTTCAGTAGCAGACACTCAACACACTAGTATGAGTTGTAGGGTATGCTAAAACTAATAATATAAATGTTACTAAAGGTACTACTTTAGAGTTACTTTTACCTTTTGAAATAATCCTTAATAACTCTTTCCACAATTTCACATTGATTCACTTGTTATTTACTATATTTATAAAACCATGTGAACTGAATAAAATATGACTGAAAGCTGTTCATAGCAAACTGAAGTTTGTCTTAATAAATCATTTTAAAGGAATTAACATGAAGAAAGTAAGGCCGGGCAGTGGTGGCGCACGCCTATAATCCCAGCACTCGGGAGGCAGAGGCAGGCGGATCTCTGTGAGTTCGAGGCCGGGCTGGACCGACAGCTTCCGAAACAATACAGAGAAACCCTGTCTCGTAAAAACAAACAAACAAACAAACAAACAAAAAAACAAAAACATGAAGAAAGTAATTTAGGCAATATTTAAATTATTTAGGAGATCAATGTCAACTGTGTTTCTCTTAAGGTAGCAGATATCCATAATGTCATCAAAAATATTTCAAGACAATAAAATGAGGTATGTGTGACAAACAAGAAATACTAACAAAAAATAGCTGAGTGATGGTGGCTGATTCTTTTAATCCCAGCACTTGGGAGGCAGAGACAAGTGGATCTCTGTGAGTTTGAGGCCAGCCTGGTTTACAGAGTGAGTTCCAGGACAGCCAGGGCAACACAGAGAAACCCTTTCCCACCTCTCCCCTCACAAATAAGTGGCAGAAATTGAGAAGAAGGAGGAATTTTTTTCCAGCCAGAATGTCCAAACACACAGAGGAGGGGACATGTCTCAAGGGAGGATGACTGCTGCAGAGACTATGGGCTATGTTCAGTTATAATGCCACCAATGTTAAGAAAGACCCACAGGAAGTTCAGTCTCCTCAGATCTACCTGCCACCATTGGTCTTTGCATATTCCATTCCACACGTATTCAGATGTGAAGATCCACTTCTCTCCATTACATTTTACTTTGTGCAGTTTAGCATTAAGTTAATCCCCATGCCTCCCTTTCCCACAGTTCTGTTATGCTAGTGACTCATACTAAGCCTGAGCTGGTAAGACTCATATCTATCCCTCTCATGGTGGTATTGGACAACAGGTCCCCCACACCCCAAAGGGCAGTTGTGACCTATTGGAACAACTCCACCTCTGCACTGTGGCTCCTCTTCAGGTGACACTCCACCTCTCCATCATCCCATACTGTATCGGTTGGTCACGCTCAGCTTGGTTCAGATTTCAGCCTCTCAGTGAAGCTTTCCCTACCACTCCCAGTCAGTTCTGCAGTTTACCTTCAAAAGGTCACCTCCTAAACGTCCTCATGCTCATCCCTGTTTTTATGCATCCTTTCATCTTCTTATACACAAGCTTCAAGAGAGAACGGCATCTATCGCCTTAGTCCCTCACTCTCTGTGAGCATCTGCTGGATTGAGAGGATGTCTCAGTGGTCACACATAAATGAGATAGGATGCTGTTCAAAGAAGGTCATTAAAGATGCTAAGTGCACTTGTGAATTCTCCGTCAAGGAGGTAGTTAGAGGGTGGACAGAGGCCCGAGGAAAAGGTCTGCAGAATCTGTAAACACCAAGTGTTTGTAACACTACTCACCGATTTTGTTCTTTCCCTCTTCATACTTTATTCTTTGTAAAATATGGTGCACGATTCTGCTTCTTGTGGCATTGTTGAAGAAAGTGTCTTTGTTGTGTATGATGAAGCTGTACACACACACATTGAAAAACACAAGTTGAAGATTAATGGGAGTTAAGAGAATCTGCCTGTTCTAACTGGGTGCTGCTGACACAGGGGTATCTTCAATCAATCCTAGAGGGTATGTCTGGAATAGCATGAAAGAGCCCAGGGATCACACCAGGGCAGCTCACAACTCTGAGGAGCCTTGGTTCTTGGGATCTTGGGCACTGATATCCTAACACTGGGAAGGAGTTGGGGCTTATGAAATTAAGAAACCTTAAAACATGTTAACAGCAAATTTAGGTCTTGTTTATAAGGTTAATTCTGTTTTTATCTTCTTGTGTCTTTGGCCCTGCCCTCTTCCATGTTGTACTCACATACTGTTTCAGGGAGTATTGACTTGAGTAATTCAGGCAGATTTTAGCTAACAAGATCCAGTTTGGGGCAGGACTCAGGTAAGAAGTCAATGTCTGGGGCTTAGCTCTGAACCTGACCTTTCTATGCCTGCCCTGAGCCCGGCCTTCCTGCCTTCCTCTGCTCTGAACCCTTCCTTTCTTTCTTCCTTCCTTCCTTCCTTCCTTCCTTCCTTCCTTCCTTCCTTCCTTCCTTCCTTCCTTCTCCTGCTCTGAGCCCAGCCTTCCTTCTCCTGGTCCTTCCTGATGAGGACTTTTAAAAGCACACACTCAAGATTCTTTTGCTCTTATTTGGTTGTCCTGCCAATACCAATGTTTGTGGAGAGTTAGCTTTTGAATTCTTCTTCTTTCTCTCCTTCTCCCCCAGCAATAACATTGGCCTTTCATTTCTAGTAGCCATGCCACTCTAAGAGCAGGTTTCTTGGGTAGCAGACAGAATGTCTAAAGCCATGCAATTCACCATGAAATGGTCATGTCCTCTCTTCTCCCCAGATGTGGTGAATTGTAGACTACCATCAATACTATACATGGAGTTACCTCCCTAAATTTAAGATTTATCAACCCAGTAACCTTAGAGTGGGCTCCTCCTACAAGTGGAATGCCATGTGAAGGCAAGTAAGTGTTGGTAGGTCTCTCCTCCAAACTAAGCATGGAGATCCCTGTTCCATCAAATTTCCACTGTCTCTAGCTATACCCCTTCCCTTTCAAAGAGCAGTCCTCCTGCCTCTGAACTTTTTCTCTCACAACTATTGACCATTATGCACTATCATCTATTTACACTGTTTCACCAGATATTTACAGAGGACAATATATAAAGCAATGATAAGGAAAACAGACTGTGAGATTAAGTCTGGTGAGGAAGGCAGATCACAAATGAGACAAACCTGCTTCTACATTGGGGAAGGGCAGACTCCTACTTCATTTGCATGAATGTTCTCCCACTTTTAAGAATGTGAGCTGACTTGGGAGAAGTGGCTGAGACCTAACTCTGTGGCTCTAGTATCTCACAAGTGGCCTCAGTGCAGGTATGGAGGGCATAGAGGGTTTTCATCAGGGAAATGGCCATCACACGTTTTTCTTACAGAAGACAGGTTCTTGGGAGTTGACCAGGAGAGCGGAAGAGACATAACTGGCTCAGAGGAAGGGCTTCATTTTAGGATTCAAGTTGGGAAATGAGATAACAAAGAAGAAGAAAGCAGAGAGTGTGGAGACATGAAAGTCACATCAGCTGACTCCCTGGGGAAATATCCCTGCCCCCCTTTCCTTCCTTTGAGGTCCCTCCCAGATGTTGCTCTACAGGCGACATGACATGAACAAAAGAAGATGCAGCAGATGGAGCAGCTGTCGCTCCTCTCTCAGATCTGCACTTGGGTTTTCTTGAGACATTTTACGGTATACCAAAGAGTGAAAGGAAAAACTCTAGAGTTACACCGAATGTGTTTCTTCTTAAACTTGTCTTTCTCTGCTTGTTCATCTTATTTGAGGCAGGCCATTACATTTTAACGTCAAATAAAGATGTCATAAACAAACAGCCAGTAAGAAGTCCATTTGGACTTACATCAGAAAACTCATGAGCTCAACCACACTTGATGGGAAAACTCAGAGCTAAAGGCCGATGTCTCCCCCACTAAATGGTGTTCTGCTTCCCTCTCATTTTATGGCCCCATTTATATCTCTAAGCACATGCAATAGTTTTCTATAATAAACCCTAGAGATAAGTTACAAATTTTATTTCCTTCTTCTTCATATCTATATTGTGCTTAGAATTGGGACAGTCTATCGTGTGAGTGAACATAGTGGGAGTGAGTCAGACACCATTCTAAGCACCCAAAAGACACAAACTCATTCAGTCCTTTCAACAACCTGTGAGGTAAAGAATGCATGTCTCAATCTTGCAGGGAAAGGATCAGAGGCAGTAAGGCATGTACCCCAAATCATTTAGCTAATAAGATACAGAGTCAGGATTAGAACTCAGATATTCCTGGGTGCAGAGGCTAACCTCTTCACTACTTCACCTGCCTGCTTTTCTCTATACTTTGGGTAATCCCTAACTCCTGAAGGTTGGGGACTCTTTGAGGTCAGTCCAGCAAGTACTCTACCTGGAATGTCCCTGTCCCCTCTCACTTTGTATTTCAGCCGTGACCATATCTCACTTGAATACTCTTGGGTGATCCCCTCTCTGTCATTACTATAAACTGTAGCATGGCATTAGGAAAAGAAGCAAGCAAAAAAGCCGCTGGTGGGATGAGGAGGGATACGGGGGTTGAGCCTTGGGCATGCTCAGCATCTCCGGCTCTTCTCTGAAGACTCTGAAGTCGAACAGACATCAGTCTATTCCCTTTGCCTTTGCCACGTACTATGTGGTATTGGGTCATAGTTGAGAGTGGAAGTTAACTCATGTTACTCTCAGAGGTTTTTGCAAGAATTAGGAGAGGTGATAAGCAGATGAATATTTAAGATGGTCTCAAGAGTTAGTGGTTTTCAGAGCTGTGGTTTCTACTACCTTGCGGCAGGACTTCACATGTATCCCTGGCTTCTCCATGTGAGCTTCTTGAGGGCAGAGACCTCCCATGCTCATTCTGCATTCCTCACAATAGCAAAGCACATGCTGATCTCTAAAGGGACTGACCTTCTGGAGAACACTAGCTATCTTTTCGTTACAAATCTCTCTGTCTCTGTCTCTCTCTCTGTCTCTGTCTGTCTGTCTGTCTGTCTGTCTCTCTCTCTCTCTCTCTCACACACACACACACAGAGACAGAGAGAAAGAGCCACAGACACTGGCTTGACCAACTCTGGCAAACACATGTCTTAAAGCCACAAGCCTCTGAGAAGAGATCTACAGGCTTAGAGACCTGACTCTGATCTTACAAGTTGCTGAGAGGATGGTTAAGAAGAATAGAGTCTTTGAGGGTCATTTGACCATGTTTGTCAATATCATGCAACTATCTTCATATACCTTCTAATCTAAACTTCTCTTTCGGAAATGTATTCCACTGACATAATTGCCCACATGGAAAGTAACAGATGTACAAGAATACTCATTATGCATGAATTATAATAGTAAAAGCCATAAATAGCCTACCTAACTCTTCAAGTGGGGGATAAGATGAACAAGCTGTGATACTACTCCATAGAAGAGACTCTGTAGCTGGGAGGAGGCCAACGGCGCTCACGATAAATAATGCAAATGTCCAAATTGAGCCAGGTATGGTGGTGGCACCAGCACAACACAGGAGGGAAACAAGGTTCAGACAGGTAAAGAGCTAGTTGTGTCAAGGGAAGACATGTGCACACAGTTGTATCAACACACACATTTCATGATCCCTGTGCAGAATGACTGTGGGAGGCTGTATGTTTATATGCGTATGTGTGTCTATAATGTCCTGATGGAGACTAGGGTGCCTGTGGGATAGAATAGAAACCCTGTGTGCCCACTTAGAGAAATTATCACTTGTGCTGAAAAGAAAATCAAGGTGGAATGAATTTTGTTATGAGTCGTTTCTTAGTTCTACTAACAAAGACAAGGAGAGTAAATGATAGCTTGGGTATAGAAAGACCCTGGGGTCATAGCTTGGAATATTCATCTTCTTATTCTACCTCTTTACAGGGTTATGTAGCGTCCTAAAACACACAGAAAACGACAAGAAGGAATTGAAAAACCATCGGCTGCATCTGTGGAGGTGGCGCACAACAGTTAAGAATGTTTTCTGTTATTTCAGAGAATCCAAGTTCATTCAAGCACTCATGTCAGCCTGTTTATAACTGCCCATAACTCTAGCTTCAGGGGATCTGACACCCTTTGATGGTCTCCATAGGCACTCACACACATGTGACTGACATGTGTATACACGCACACACACACACACAATAATAAGAATACAATTTTAAGAAATTACCTGCTTATTTCATGTCTTTTTTATTTGTAATAAGACCCTTCAGGAGCACAGTTTGCCCATGTGCTTGTGTGTGTGTGAAACTGGCCTTTCTACATGTCACTGTCTTCCTTGGGGGATGGCATTGGTTGACTTGCTAAGTGATGAACAGTTGAGCCCGATCCAACTGACTCCTGCTAGGGACTCAAGCCCTGATTTTTATTGGGGTCAGCAACCTTGGTTTCTAATATTAGAGTCCCAATGTCCTTTTTTGCCAGGAGAGGAGGGATGAGAAAGGCTACTCTGTGGAGCCGGTGTTAGCTAGAAACATCTCAGTGTTATGTTTACTTTTTACCGATTGGTTCTTCTTCCGTCTATTCACAGAGGTACAATGTGACATGTTGAATTGTTTAACGAGTAAATAGTATGCCTTTTCTTTGTAGAGCACTGTACACTGGGAGTGTGTATCGCACACGGAAGTGGGTGGAACACAGGTAAACACAGGTATTATGTATCCATGTATTTTTAGTGCAGGAAATGAAAAGGTGAAACTAACCCAGCTCCCTTCCTCAGACATGATTCTAAGCTTACTATATGAAAGAGAGTAAAAAATTCAAAGGTGTGAATTGGGGAAACATGCTCATTAATACTTAATTGAGAGTCAGTTTATGAGATGTGGCAACTTCAAAGCAGAAAACAACTCGTTTTTTCCCCCCTAAATTTCTTCTTAGACCATGCTCT